CAGATTGCCGCGCACGCGACGTCGCATGGTTCTGAAGACTACCTCCTTTCTTATTATGATCACCCTGTATCATTCAGTCAAGACCTATTCTCGATGTCTTACAGGTGCTCACCGAATGCTTTGTGTACTGACACGGAATCAGGCTACGTCTGCCGTTGTAAGCCAGGATTTGTTGACTACTCACCGAATGCACAAAGGTACCTCATTAAGTTACAAGTTGTTACTACCACGAAAAGCGGATCATTTAGTTTCCCCGGTCTTGTATGTAAGGAGCTGGTGAATGAGTGCTCATCCCCACGTTCTCAATGACTGTGACCAGAATGCCATTTGTGTGGACACCGTCGAGGCGTACACCTGTATCTGCCGACCTGGATTCACCGATATGGACGAGTTCAGAAATCCCGGACGACGCTGTCATAAAGGTAAACGGGTGGAAAAAATTGTGGAAAAAATCCAAAGATTGTTTCTCCGTCTTTCAGAAAAGACTAATGACCGCTGCTCTGTTGGCAAGAACGACTGCGACCGAAATGCTCGTTGCACACAAATTGGTAAGCTGACTGGATCAATTTCTGTACAGCGTTTTGAATACCCTTCGTCTAGGTGACGACGACTACACCTGTGCATGCCCTGTGGGCTTCAATGACAAGTCGCCGTCGCTATCTCGTCCAGGGCGGGTGTGCATCCCTGTGATACCGAGTGCGATAACCCAACGCTGAATGACTGCGACTCACCAGATAGGGCGATTTGTACAGACACTGATGACGGGTACATGTGTAGGTGAGTTCCTTGAAGCTTCTTGCTGAGAACAATTGAAGAAAATTGAAAATGTAGGCACTAGTGCAAAGTGTGGTCTGTTTCAGTGCTGGTTCTCAGGTTACATGCAAAACTGCAAAAAAAATGTGCGGAGGGAATCTACAACCCCCATTCCATCAAATCCTTGTTACGTCCCCGTAAAACAGGCAAGACAGAGTGTAGACAAAAGTTGCAGAATTCCTGAACTTTTGCCTGAACAGGCTACTCACTCCACATAGACTCACAGCCACAGTCCATTCATGTGAGGACAGGAAGAGGTCAAGAGTGCACGAAATCGGGGGTGCAGGGCAGTAATGCCTGAACGCCGCCTCCACCCTGCGGTGTAGCCTGCCAATCAGGCGCCAGGCCGTAGATAGGTCCGCTGTTTGTCCACGCTCTCCCACTTCTGATTGTTCTCTACCGCTAAGTGCGTGTTTCGTAATGGGAATTTTTAATTGACCCGAGGACTGCTCCTTGAGGATGGTGTGGGAGTAGTATGGAAACGGCACTCGGGTACCACTATCCTACCCGTGTTCCCGTGCACTTTTGAGCGGAGAACGTAGTACGCTACTGCAGCTGCGCCAGTTCGCCTCGCACATGGCAAAAACCGTCCTGGGCAGTTAAGAAAACAATCAACGGTAGATTATCTATTTTTCTATCCAAGCTCTTACAGAAAGTTCAGGATTTACTGCAATCTTCTACCTATACATCCTCTTTGGGAAGTGTGTTCGGAGATCTGACACGCATCCATAGACAACTTATTGCCAAGCAATATCTTGCAGATGTCAAAACTTGACCATTCCAAAGCATCCCCTTGATAATTCTGTTGCTGGGCCACTCAGTTTATCGCCCAGCAACAGAATTATCAAGGGGATGCTAAAGTTATCGATCCCTGTTCGACTTGGAAATCCTTCTGAATCCCGTTTAGGTGTCGTCAAGGTTTCCTCGACATTTCACCAAGCATCGCTTCGAAGCCAGGAAGACTCTGCAAGCCCTGTACGCCTCGTTTTTGTCCTTCTTAGAATCCTTAGCTGTTCAAAGTATATCCTGTTTTCAGTGCAAAACGAGTGTGCCCTGAAGACCGACGACTGCGCTCGGGACGGAGGAATCTGCGAAGACACGCCGGACTCATACATGTGTCGTTGCGCCATCAACTACCTCGACGTTTCTTTCGATAGAGTGAACAGGCCGGGCAGAAAGTGCAAACGATGTGCGTTTCCCTCTTCTGTCACCCTTTTGGGACAAACTAACCCTTGGCATTTCAGTGGTAGACGAATGCGCAACTGGACAGAATGATTGCTCGCGAGAGGCGATCTGTACTGACACAGAGGACAGCTACATGTGCTCTTGCCCACCCACTCATATCGACCTCTCCGCGGATCCGATCAACCGTCCCGGGAGGAAGTGTTTGCTTCGTGAGTGGAACGGTTGGAAAGTTCGATTATTATTTCTATATAAATCTTTAAAGGAATCAACGAGTGTACTTCGGGACGTCATGACTGCTCCCCCAACGCTGACTGTATGGACACTCCAGAATCCTACAAATGTCGATGTCGAGACGACTTTGTCGATGAATCGCCTGACATCATGCACCGTCCTGGACGGATCTGTCGACCGGCTCTTGTCGATGAATGCCGTCTGGGCAAGCATGATTGTCATGCTGACGCCTTTTGCCAGGTCAGCCAAGGGTAGTCGCACTAGCCGTTCTATCTGCCTTTCTAACATAGTCGTTCTAGGACTTGCCGCAGGGTTATACGTGCAGATGCAAACCCGAGTTCCTGGACCAGTCACCAAATCGGGCCACTCATCCGGGCCGAATGTGCGTGCCACGTCCTACTCCACCTCCTCCAGAATGTCGCATTGATGGTCCAAATCAGTGCAAGGCGCATTTGAACGAGGTGTGCCGACTAGTAATGGGCGAGCCGAAATGCGCCTGCCCTATCAATTATCAGAGAGATTCAGCTGGCTCTTGTTCAGGTAAGCCATTTTCTTTTCCGCTTCCTCTCACACTCGAATTGAGCATTTCAGTGATTAACGAGTGCGACTTCCCACAACTAGTTGATTGCCATCCTTCCGCTGACTGCATCGACCAGCTGGTTGGATACACCTGCGCTTGCCGGCCAGGCTTCAAGGATATTGGGGAGAAGCCCGGTCGTATATGCAAACCCTGTGAGTTCTACTTTTGGCCGGCAAAAAGGTCTTGAATGAGTCGGTTTACTTTAGTGGTGAATGAGTGTCAATTCCCTCATCTGAACGACTGCCACCAGCATGCCCAATGCATCGACCAAGAGGAGGGATATGAATGCAGGTGAGTTCTTGCATACCAAATACTAATATCACAACTACTTCGATACCTCATAGTCATACTTCGATACCTCTACTTCGATATCAAAGCCGAATTCCCCAAAGGTTATTTCACTACCAGGCAGAAACGAAAAGACCGTTCTAGCAATAACTCTAGGGTCGACTTAGGAATATGAAAAACCTATGCGGTAGGAGTAGATAGTTGTTACTAGATGTTCTAGAGTACTGTAGATAGTTGTTTCCGGGCCAGTCCATTTTCCACCGTTGCTGTTGTTTTCGCTAGCGCGCATGTACAATTGGTGCAGAACGGGTTGGCGTCACCAAACCCATCCCCTGACACCCCAAGCGTTTGAAGAGCAAATAATTTTACTCTTTCGCAAGGATGTGACTCACAAGCGATCTCTCAGATCCGAGGATTTCGATCCGACTTTCTATCACATTAGTGACCATTGTCTCTTTGGGACACGCCTATTAATGAAATGGGAGACGGACAAGAGAATCGTAACTTGCCACTATGTCGCGCGCGACGCACCCTTTCGCTGTGAGCACGAGAAATTCCCAATGTGGGCGTCACGCGGATACAGGCGCGTCCCTAGTAGATCGCTAAATCGCAATGAAAGGATAAAGTCTTCGCCGTTGATCAATCCCTTTGTGGGATGCGGCACGCATTCTACTTCCATTCAGAATCGTAGTGGCTTATTGAATGCGATGTGGCCTATACAATGACTTGCGGTGGCCAGCCGATGTACAAGTCAGTGTTTTATCCTCCCAGACGAATCTGGTACCAATTTACCGTCCCCGGAGGGTAGAAGGCTTGGTTGGCCTGGGCGGGAGTCGACCCGGGATTCGGACCGCGCGAGTGGTAAGCGCGCCACTTGTCACTACACCACCTCCGCGCCAAACCGCAATGATACTTGCATTTATTGGTCTCTAAATTCTTTCATCAAATTCTAGATGTAATCACGGATTCATGGATCGCTCACATGGGCGACCTGGAAGAATTTGCAAGCAACTCATTGACGAGTGTGCCGTACCGGGAATGAACAGCTGTGACAGAAACGCCAGGTGAGAAATCCTCAATCCTCATCCAAACGCCTAGGATGATGCAAAAGTATCTTCCAGATGTATCGATGAAGAAGAGGGTTATCGTTGTGAGTGTCGTGAGGGATTCCTAGATGTGTCACCTTCGCCACAATTCAAGGGAAGGAGCTGTCGACGATGTGAGTGGCTTTTTTCACACATTACTGGTACGAAATTTCACGCTAAATTACAGTGGTGAACGAGTGCCGTGACCCGAAGCTCAACGACTGTGACCGGAACGCCAAGTGTCGTGACACGATGGACTCCTACGAATGCGAGTGCCCGTCCAATTCCAAGGATATTTCACCGAGTCCAGCTTTTCCTGGCCGTGTCTGCCTACTGTGTACGTTTTCATTTGCTGCACTGAGATACGTTTCTGCCACTTAATAAGGGAGCTTTCAGTTGAGAACGAATGCGAGACGGGCAAGCACGACTGTGACCAATCGGCCATTTGCCACGATAACGAGCAGTCCTTCTCATGCGAATGTCCCGCAGGCTTCGTGGACAGGTCGCCTAACAAAATGCATCGCCCCGGACGAGTCTGCGTGAAGCTGGTGAGTTTCGTCCTTTTCTTGAAGGGTATGTGACAAGAGAATCGTAACTGGTCGGGCCAGTGGGCGTCGCTGCGAGTGTGAATTACGGAGACGTCGCGCCCAATGTCGCGCGCGACGAAGCGGCAATTTACGATTCTCTTGTCTGTCTCCCCGGTGTGAGAGATTCACCGACGTTTCTAGGTGGATGAATGCTCAACTGGACGCCACAC